ACTGCTATGCCAGGTATGAGAGGAGGTATTAGTATGATCTGCTAGATCATAAATATTATTGTATTGTAGAAATTGCAATAGTTTGTATTTGATAGATGAAGAAGTTGAGTTGTAAGGTGGTACATTAAAGTCACCTAGTATTTAGTGATTTTGGCCGATATACAAAAAATCGACTAAAGCAAAATTTTCGGCTTAGCCGGTCAATTTTTTCAAAATCAGCTAATCAATTTTATATTGCCAAAAATAGAAAATATAATTTATTTATGTACGTATGTACAAAAAAAATATAACTTAGAATATATGCTATGTATTAGTATTAAAGTCAGTTACTCTATTACTAAAGTACAAATATAAAAATCAGGTTTATTATAGCAAATTTATAAAATTTGACTTAGAAATATCAAACAAATAATAAATAACATACTTAATAGTTTAGTCAATACTCAAATTTCATAAATTCATCATAATGTTATCATGAGTTTGATATATAGAAAATTCGTACAAAGGAACTGTATTCTGCAACTAAAATCAATAAGCAAGAAATTGCTATATACCTTACAATTCACCAAGTTTAAACCTTATAATAAACCTGGGTCTAGTATACAGTCAAAAGTTAATATAATTAGAAGAAAAACTTCGAATAAATGCATATTTTGCATTTATAATATGCCAGACCCAGGTTTTCAAATAATTAGATTGCATATAACAATTTACGATAATATGTTTGTATCATAATTTAAATAATTAAAACATGCTTGTAAACATCAATAATTATTTAATCAAAATAAAATAAATAATCTATAAATTAAATGCATTATAGAAATATAAATGCCTAATATAAATGCATTAAGTATATATGTAAAAATAGGGCCACTATTTTAGAAGCAAAAAGCCATCTAGTTTGAATATACGATTAGCGAAAATTAATATACTGTTAGTGATTCAAATAGAAGTGCCAGAAGAAACTTACTAAAAGATACACGGAAACAAAGAAATGCTTGCAAATTTAAATATCTAAAATTAGCAAATTGTAAATACAATTATTAGGATTATATTAACAAACTTACTAAATGATAATCTTAATTAAGCCACTCGAGAATTAAAATAAATAGCTAATCTAAAGCTATTCACATAGTGCGTAGAATGAAAGTCAATTTCTTTATGAAATAACCAAATGCGTAATTCAAACCAATAAATGTAATGTGAATTAGTATTGTTATTTTATAGATTTTAATATCATAGAAATTTAAAAGCATATCTAACAAAAGCTGAAAATTAGCATATTCCATTTCAAAATTCCAATTACAAAATTAAGATCAAATATAAAATTGAATTAAATGATGATACACTTATCTTATTGGAAAATATTAAACATAGATCTTTGCTGTGAATATCAACTCTCCAAAATGCACCCTTTATAAAGCATGCAATATGTACACCCACTTTAAATGCATACTAATCTTCAGTCCAAACATATAGAGAGCACTAAAAAAAATAAATGCGCATCCTTCCTAAATGCATTGTTAAAAATTTTACTGATAATCCCATGGGGATGCATTTACAGAAAGTTGACTGTATATTCTTTGCCTTATGTCTTTTACAAAATAACTGATATTTATTTTACTGAAGATAATCAGAACTTCACTATTGTCTGTTATCTTTGAATTGGATCAAGTCCAAATGCAAGCTGGCAGTAAGATTTGTAGTTTCAGTATTAAAAGGAACCTGAATCATTGAGGTGTTTAATTTATTATGTAAATCAATTACATGTAGTCATATAACTAAACACTTAATATATATTTATTTATTTTTACTTACATATTATAATAATAATAAATTTAAGATGAATGAATAGCTCTAATTATTCAATAGTTTATAATCAAATTTGTAAAGACCAATATTATGCCTCTACAGGCAAAGCTATAGAGCCTTTTCTTTTCTGGATATGAAAAAATTTATTTTCCTTAAGAGAAAAAAAGAGTTTTTAATTTAGCTTCTTTTTAAAGAACAAACATTACAGCTTTGTTTGTAAAAACATAATACTTATCTTTATGAAATTTTATCTGAAACTATTAAACTATTAAGGTTGTGCATTATTTCAATTAGCAATTATAAAACTTATTATATGGCCCTATATAGTTATATAACAAATAATGGGCAAATATTCATAAAACAATGTCATAATAACAATAGATAACTTATCTAAGAATAGACTAATGTAATTGTGCATTTTGATTAGCTCGAAAAAATTTTTTGCTTTGTCCTGTTTGAAAAAGTTTAGTAAATTTGATAAAATTTTTTTAAAATTTCTAAGTTTGTTCTAACCTTATTTCAACTACTAATGAATAGCATTTGCCGATGAATATCCACCACTTATGTTATTCTGTGAAAGAAAAAATATTTTTTTCTATTAAAATATGGATAAAAAATTTTTTTATATTTACTTATATCTCAATATATCTATAAAAATTTAGTTGATAATGCATTAAAGCTTGAATTTTTATCCCTTTTCATAATTATATAACATATTTTGTTAAAAAATTGATTCTGCCCAGAATGGCCAACTCATTATCATCTGTATGCATTTAATTATAAAAATACAAACAATATTAATACTAAGAAAAAAAAAAAAGAACAATTATATTAAATATAAACAATTGCATACATGCAATGAATATTGTTGTGACTATTTAGAAATAGCTCATATAAGTATGAATTTATCCCATTCAAGCCAAGCAAGCAACCTTATGCAAGACATATAATTGGCAAATTTATTTACAATAAATCAAATATAAAAAAGAAAGCAATCATACCTCTCTAATAAAATTCACAAAAATGTCTCTACAGAACATTTCAGATGAAGATGTGTATTTAGATGAATTATATTTACAACCAAATGAAGAAACTGACTTAATATCAGATAATGAATTACCCTTATATTCTGATGAACAAAAGTCTTTAAATAAAGATTCATATTTATCATTAGATAATGATCTCTATCTAAATAATGAATCTTCATTAAAAAATGACAATTCTTTGAATAACATATCTTCCTTAAATGAAAAATCATCTAATGTATTTGCTCAAAATGCAAAAAGAAAAATTAGTAATTCACGAAATTTCAAAACTAAAAAAAGACCTAAACCAGGAAAGAGTTGGATATAGAAACACATGAGAAAAGACCAGGTTAAGAAAAAAATTAAATGTCATAAATGGATCAGTAATGATAATAAAAGGCAACAATGCTCAAGTGTCTTTGAATTAAAAACCCCTACAACAAATTTAGCCGCACATCTTCAAACAGAACACAGATTGGATAAAAATAGACCTTTATTGTCACTAAGTAGTGTACAAGAAACAACCCAACCACAGCCTGTACAATCAGGTCTATTGCAATATACTTTACCAGAATTATTTAGTCGTAAAATACCATTATCAGAAAAAAAACAAAACAGAATTACCTCCTGAATATTAGCATGGATCATTGATGATATGCAACCCTTTAATGTTTTGAAAAATGAATGACTTTATGATCTTTTATATGAAGCAAAGCCACAATTTCAACTTCAAGGTTATGATACATTCAGACAAAAAATGCATAAGGCAATAAACTATACTGAAAATTGTTTAAAAAATTTAATTGACAGCACATTAGAATTTTTTGCATTCACTACAGACCTATGGACTCAAAATTACAAACCATATATTGGAATTATGGTCCATTGGCTCTCTTCTGAGTTTGAAATACATAAAGCTTTACTTACAATTGAAAATTTTCCATATCTATATACATCAGAACATATCGAAGATTGTTTATGAAAAGATTTGGCTAAATAGAATTTAAGTGACAAATGTATGGCAGACGTAACTGATAATGCTAGCACAATGGTAAAAGCATTAAATGATATTGGGATCTTACATGTACAATGTACAGCTCACACTATCCATCTTGGGGTTACTAATGGTTTAAAACAAACTATCGACTTGATTAACCATACAAAAGCTCTAAATGCATTTGTTGCCAGAAAAGATAAATTTAGAGAAAGGTTACGATTAGTGCAAGTTGAAATAGCTAAAGAAAAAAATACATCAAAGAATATTAAAGATATTTCAGTCCTAGATCCAATTTTCAATGATACTGTAACCAGGTAGAACTTGACTTATTTATTATTAAAATGTCTACTTTTTCTTTATGAAGCTATAAAAAGGTTACAAAAAGATCTTGCAAAAAATAATGAAAAAAGTATTAGAAATAATGCCAAAACATTAGAAAATTTGCTCCTTAATGAAGAAGAATTGTTGGGAATCCAAGAGTTAGTTGAGTTGCTAGGCCCTTTTGCACAGGTTACAACTATAATAGGCAGAGATCATTATCTCACTTTTTCAATAATGTTACTTCTAATTAAAAGATTACAAGAACATCTATTTCAAAAGAAAGCAACCCTTAAACATTCAATTGTTCGTAATGTGTGTGATGAGATAGAACTTTTATTTGGAAACCATTGGGAAGAACCAGGAGTAGATGGGTACATTGCTGCTATCCTTAACCCAAGATTTAAGAATCTGAGCTTTGAGTCAGAAAAGCTAGAGATAATAAAAGATGAATTAAAATGCAAGATGGAAGATTCAAAAAATATATACTTAACAACACCCTCTATTGAAAATAATACATCCTTCTCATTATTAAATTCACTTTTTGAAGAAACTTCTCAGCCATTTGTCCTATTGAAGCCAAATTAAAGATATATTTTAATATGCTCCTAATGATAAAATATGATCTTTCTGATCCTCTCTATAAAAAACATAACCCATTAGTCTTTTGGTGAGATAATAAACTAACTCTTCCCCTAATGGCACAGCAGGCATGAAAGTATTTAGCAATCCCGGGAACCTTAGTCCCATCAGAATGCCTCTTTTCCAATGCTGAAAATTTTATAACTGATAAATAAAATCGTCTATAGCCTAATACAGTTCATGACCTACTTTTTCTGAAAGAAAACCAGCATTGTTTTAACCCTTATCCCAATTTAAATTAGTATTAAAAAAATATGTAACTTTTAATAAAGCCATGGATCGCTAAATAATGGGCGAACACAAATTATATAGAATTTGTGAAATTAACAAATATTGTGCTTTATTGTTAAATAAAAAAAATTATATAGAATTTAACAAACATTATACAAAATAAAAAACATTAAATCTATTCTATCCTGTGAAAAGAAACAGTTTCATTTCGAAATGTTCATTACTGCATTATCTATCTATTTCTGCATTATCTATTTCTAGATTAATTTACATAATTGATTTCCATATAATTTTCACGTGATTCTATCATCTGATCAGAGAATCAGCTAAGCTGACTAAGCTGATCAAAATTTATTGACTTGGCCTAGCTGATAAATTTTAATCAGCCAAAATCACTACTAGTATTATGAGTAAAATGTTTCGGTTAGTAGCTTCTTGGATCTATTGAATAATAGTATTTTGAATTTGCAGTCTTAATTGTAAGTTTTCACATAGTAAATATATAGAGATAATTTGGAATTTGTAATCATGTTTGAAAAAGAGGTCTATAGTGATAGCATAGCCAGGAAGAGTAAAAATATTATGTATATGGGATGTAAGATGTTTATGAATCATGAGTGCAGTTTCTGCTTTGGAACTATTAGTACATGACCAGTGATAAGAGTAGTGTTTTGAATTATTAAATTTGATAATAGCATTATCTTCTGCTATTTTTGTTTCTGTGATACTGATAATGTTTAAGAAATGAGTAATACAGTAATCTTCCCAGACAGCTGTTTGAGATTTTCATTGTATCCTTAAATGTTGTAGGTGCAGATTGTGAGATTTAGAGATAAGATATTAGGGTTCCTAGGTTGTGTTAAATTACTGAGGATAAGAGCTAAAGGTGCTGGTATAGAGAAGACTGGTGTTAATGTGTTTGATTTTAACTGAATGTTCAGATAATGCCAGATAGCTTGAATTGGTAAGATAAAGTGATTAGGTAATGGTTTAGCTTCTGATGGAAGGTAAACATGA